CTTTCCCTAGAGACTGTTCTTGCTTAGTTTTAAAAGTTAACATTGGGAATTCCTTGGCGATCCATTGGTTAGAACTTGGTGCTTTCACTGCCAGGGCTGGGGCTCAATCCCTGGTTTTGGGAACCCGCAAGCCAGGTGGCATAGCCAAAAAAAAAGTTAAATGTTTCTCATAAAAAAGAATGAAATAATGCCATTTGCAGCAACATGGGTGGACCTAGAGATTATCATAAGTGAAGTCAGTCAAACAGAGAAAAATATCATATGATATCACTTGTATGTGGAATCTTAAAAAATGATACAAATGAACTTTTTTACAAAACAAATAGACTCATGGACTTAGAAAACAAACTTATGGTTACCAAAGAGGATGGGCGGGGATAAATTAGTAGTTTGGGCTTAACATATACACACTACTATATATAAAATAGGTAAACAAGGACCTACTGTATAGCACAGGGAACTATACTCATTATCTTGTAATAACCTATAATGAAAAAGAATATATATATATATATCTGAATCACTTTGCTGTACACTTAAAACTAACAGCATTGTAAATTAACTATACTTTAAAAAAGTTAATGTTTCTCCAAAATAATTAACTCCAATTAAAGAACTTCAGATTTTACTTTGTAAATAGAAACAGTATTAAATTTCCTTCTCTTAAACACTTTTTGAATGTCAGTTGTCATACCTTTTTGAATGTCAGTTGAGATAATGGGCAAAGTTTGAAAGTTACAAATGTTGGCCAATTGTAAATAGTGTCCCATTTTCTTATATAGAAGACAAATTTAAAAGTATAAAATGATAGCCTAAGGTTATATTAATAGGGGAATGATAAATAAATTATAGATAGGTATATCCACTCAGTGGGAAAATACATAACCCTTAAATGATAATTGTGATAGTCACCTAATATTAAGCAGCAATATGGAAAGTACTTAAGAACGGGAAAGCAGGAAAAAGTACTTTACTGGAAGTATTGCTTTTATTTTCATGTTAATATATTAATACCTAATAATGCTACTTTTAAAATTTATTAAGGCCACTTTTTGTTCCATGCAATTAAAAAAGAAATGAGTTTTCCTACATCCAATGAACTTTATCGTGCAGTGCTTTCTGTAATTCAAATTAATGTTCATAAATGTTTAGATTTTTGTCTATTTAAGTAAATTTTTAAATTCTATTCTTAAAAGTATAGATGCTTTTCTGACACATAATCTTCAATTTCCTAAATGCTTTCAAATATGAATATGGCTATAATCATTATTTTGCTCATTTAAAAATCAGGGGAGGGCTTCCCTGGTGGCGCAGTGGTTGAGAGTCCGCCTGCCGATGCAGGGGATACGGGTTCGTGCCCCGGTCTGGGAGGATCCCACATGCCGTGGAGCGGCTGGGCCCGTGAGCCATGGCCGTTGAGCCTGCTCGTCCGGAGCCTGTGCTCCACAATGGGAGAGGCCACAACAGTGAGAGGCCCGGAAAAAAAAAAAAAAAAAAAAAAAAAAAAAAATCAGGGGATTTCCATTTTTTTCTACTTGTGTACTTCTCATTAGAAAATGCTTTATTCTGTTATATGTGAAGTAAAATTTTCCTCTCCATTCTCCAGAAATGTTGCCACTGTAAAGTGCTTGGTCTGTATTCTTCCTGGTGTTTCTTTTGTGCATATACAAACGTGGGTGAAATGTGCATATATGTATATCTTTTTTTTAATTCAAAGTGAGTCATACTATATAATTTGCTGAATTGCTTTTTTCAGTTACTATATCATGGACTTCTTTCTGTGCCTGTACATATAGAGTTACCTCATTCTAAGAAATTTCTTCTCATTATCCTATTTAGTGTCTGTGCATGTTTTGAAATTAAGGCTGTGTACTAAATAAGAGTCATGAGGTTTCTTTTATTTGACTTTTTCATTTGAGACATTCTAAAATAGGGTTAGATAATCTAAATAATTTCTTTTTTTTTCCCAGCGGGTCCATATGGAATATTTGCTGGTAGGGATGCCTCCAGAGGACTGGCGACATTTTGCCTAGATAAAGATGCACTTAAAGATGAATATGATGATCTCTCAGATTTGAATGCCGTACAAATGGAGAGTGTTCGAGAATGGGAAATGCAGTTTAAAGGTACCTTCGTTACAAACTATAAAATTTATAAAAATTGTGACACCTTTAGTCTTATAAGGCTTGTTCATTAAGGTATATAGTTTTTTAAATATAGAATTTAAAACAATATATTTATATTTAAAACAATTAATTAGTGATATTGATACTGTAATTTTAGTTTATTCTAAAATGATTTTCTTGATCCTACCTTCAAACCATAAAGGAAAAATGTCATTCTCCTTCATTACATGCTCATGACATCAATTTTTACCGCCTCTGTGAACACTCTGGACTGCTATTTATGTGACCTGTGGATCCCTTGGAATACTTCTTCTGGCTTCTTGGCACTTATACTGGTTTTGCTATATAGAGCAGTCCTCCTGTCTTATCCTCTCGGTTTGTCAGTTAATTTGCTTAAACTAGGTTCAGAGTCTTGACCAAGAAATGACTAAATATGTTATCACCTTGGACATAACGATGTTCTAAATTAAACACCTGGTAACATAAAAACAAGCAATGTAACCGAGATCTAAGAAGAGAGTTTGATAGGAGAAAGAACAATAATGTACTAGGCACCACATATCAGGACCTCAGAGAACACAGGATAATAAGTAGCGAGTGAATTTTCATCTTCTCATTTGCTTTGTTTTCTTAGGGACTACTAGCATGTGTCACATTTTCTCCCCAAGAATATTTCCTGGTGGAATCTACTTTCCATGTGATTTTCCACCTCATGTACTCTTTCTCCCCAAGAAAGTAACCATTAACTTTTTTATCGTCTTCTAACTGTTGGAAATGCCCTACATTGCCAACTTATCTATCTAATGACAATATTTTGGGCTATTAAAATTTAAAGAACTATTCTGAGACTCACAGTGCACATCAGAGTTAAACCAGTTTCAAAGTACACGTCCTCATACCTATTCCAAGAGCCTGACATGGGTGACTCCAAGATGGGTCCTGGATGTGCATATTGTTTTTTTAAAGGTCTCCAAGTGATTCTGATGCAGTGTCCTTGATTAAGAACTGGTTGTATGGAACACTCTCCTGCAAAAGTACAATTCCCAAGCTTTATGAGTTCCCTGACCCTGTTTTCTTTTGTTCAAGTGTTACATGAGTACAAAGACTGGACAAGGTAAACAATAGGAAAAACTTACCTTGTTCTATATGACTCTAAAGGAAGCATACACCTTCCCTGCTGTATAATGGAATAGTGAGACAAATTTGATCGCTACTGATTTTCTTTTGATGTATCTTTCAGAAAAATATGATTATGTAGGCAGACTCCTAAAACCAGGGGAAGAACCATCAGAATATACAGATGAAGAAGATACCAAGGATCACAATAAACAGGATTGAACTTTGTAAACAACCAAAGTCAGGGGCCTTCAGAACTGCAATTCTTACTCCCTTTCACAGAATGTCCAGCGTCTTTGGGTTTGGTTCACCTGCTGCAAAAAAACATTCAACAGATTGTTTGTACAAGCTAAATGAGTCTCATTATGAAGATTCGAATACTAGACATTATGCTGCCAGACTCATTTGTTGCAGTTGTCTGTAATGTCTGGTGGGGCTTCATCCTGAAAAGGAGACAGGGATTTTTTTAAAGAGCAAGAAAGTCACAAGATTACTTTTCCTTTTCTCTCTTTTTTTTTTTTTTAAGTCAAAGACAACCTGATACGTATTTGCTACTTAAGTGTACAGATCTCCTTAAAAAAACAGCAAGGAATTCCTACTTCATGTGCTGGGTCTGTTTTAGCAATGAGGGAGGCAGGGTGGTGCCCATCAGTCTGAGTAGTTAAGGCTACTGAAACACTAAGATGTGACTCCCCAAGCTTTTCTTTTGGGGTTTTGTCAGAGAAAAGAAAAAAACCTTTATTTCTAAGAAATTTTTGGAAATTAGAAAAAGGGATTTCAGGTGGATTTAAGTCAAAGCTAATTCCCCAACAGTAAGATCATTTGAAACTGGTTTTTATCCCTTTCCTTCCCCTAGATCCAATCAATATTAATTGTGCCTTATTTCACTTAGATAGACTTGAATTATTTTTAGGGAAAGCCCCTATGTGAATTCAGAAGTCACTACAAGCAGCATTGAGACTGAAGTTGGAATATTCTGTTGACAGCAAAACCTTGATGTCATTCTGTGTATATAGAATGTAAAAGGAATATTCAGTGTTACTGCCATATATGTTAATATACACAAACTTAATTAGCATTGTCATGGCCAAATGCATTCCCCCATGCTTTTCTCTTATCAAAAAAAAACTGAAAAACAAATCAACAACTCTATCCCCTAACAGCTGCCTAATTTTAGGAGTCTTGACTCTCACATCTCACTGGTGTGGGTGCATGAGGCCGTAGTATGGATGTTGTGTGGGTGTGTCTGAGTGTGTGTGAGAGCGCCTTGGAAGGGATCTGCAGATACTGTAAATACCCATACCATTTTAATAAAGCATGTACAATACACCAAAATAAGCTTGAGTTGGACTTTATATACAAACTGTAAGCCAGTGCATTATGATATGGGAGTTGAGATTGTGTATTTGATTCAAGATAAGGAAAAATCTTGGAAATGAAAGGCAGGCACTGGTTAACCAAGTTGTACACATTGTACCACATTCACTGTAACTTTAGGAAGAAATTCCACTTTGTGGAACATTCTCAAGAGATCTGAGATTATTCAGGTAAGAATTGATATATTAAAATGTACATATTTTTTCTTTATATTTTGATGCCAACTGATAATACTAGAAGTAATAGCACTCCTGTGGTAGTTATTGAACACAAAACAATAAAGGATATTATACTGATTGATAGGTATTAAATTCTTCTATTGTTAGTTTGAAAAAGCTCTTACTACAAGCCCTATATGTGTCCATTATTTGATTTCATCATGACTATTTAGGTTCTTAATTGGAGACAAGTTATACCAAAAAAGACAATTTTATTTAATAAGTCAGCAGTTAGAGAAAAGAATTCTCCTGCTTTATGAGTATAATATATGCAGAAGCCATCAAAGAAAGAGGAACTTTTAACTGCAGTAATAAGCTAAAGTATGTAAAATACTACATTCTATTGTATTCAGTCTTGGAATGTTTTGTAGAAAATGATGAACTTTAGCCAGATCTTTGCTGAAGACTGGTTGTAACAACTGAAGAGTGTTGGTAAATGGTTTGTGTGTTTTTATGTAAAATATTTTCTGAACAGATTTGTTAGAGTATGTGTCCTCTAGAGTAAACTGATATATATGAATCATTTGAGCCTAAAGTTAAGAAGTAAATCTACACTTGTGAATAGAGAAACCCTAAATATTCATGAAGTAAAAATTATGCAGTCTGTTAAGAAAAATGAGTAATGTTGTGCTTTGGACTTGAAATAAACAGTGTTCTATGGACAATTCCTCAATTTCAGTTGAGTGTTCTCATTCTCAGGAAGTTTGGTGGGCAGTCAGTCATTGAGTAAGGGGACAGGAGCTGTGGTGGCATTGTTGCTGTTGTTTCTCCCTTAACCACTATTTCCCTAACTTGCCTGATTATTAGAACCACTTGAGGTGCTTAAAATACAAATTCTTGGTCCCCAGTCAAAACCTACCACCCACTGAGCCAGAATGGAAAGAGAATGAGTCTCAGACTCTATTTGTAAGAAGTGCCTTGGGTAATTCTTATGATCAGAATTTTCAAATGTGAAAAACACCACACCAGTCTTTTCAAGTTATACAATTGACCCTTGAACAACAAGGGTTTGAACTGTGTGGGTCCACTTTATTTTCTTCAACAAATAAGTATTACAGTACTACAGTACTTCATGATCCACATTTGGTTGAATCTGTGGATGTGGAACTGCAGATCCAGAGGGCCGTAAGGGGAATTTCACTCAGCACAGGTCGGTACCTCTGAACCCCTGCATAATGTTCAAGGGTCAGCTGTATTATCTGTCTTTGTCATCTACTTGAAATGGACCTTAACCTTAGATAATTTTGGTCTGATTCCCTGTGTTTGGTTTTCTGTTTCACTCCCTAAACATCCATAGTATTTCTGAGTTAAAAATTAGGAGATTTCGCTGGGTGGGAAGGGGATGGATTGGGAGTTTAGGGTTGACAAGTACACGCTGCTGTATTTAAAATAGATATCCAACAAGGACCTACTGTATAGCACAGGGAACTCTGCTCAATATTCTATAATAACCTAAATGGGATAAGAATTTGAAAAAGAATAGATACATGTATATATATAACTGAATCACTTTGCCGTACACCTGAAACTAACACAACATTGTTAATCAACTATACTCCAATATAAAATAAACTTTTTTAAAGGCTGAAAAAAAAAAAAATTAGGAGATTTCATATAAAAATCTAGTATGTAATTTTTTTTTAAATATCAAATTTTTATTCTCTTCAGTTTTTTGTCTTTTGATAACTTCTCCAAGTTGGCAGTATGTTTCCCAAATAAAGTCTATACTGTGTGTACTAGCCAGTTTCTCTGTTAGGAAGTGAGCCCATTTAGATTACAGATCACGTTTTTAAAACCTTGACTATGGTGCTTATGTTTTCCTGACAGTAATTCCACCTGCCTTTTTTGAAATCTGCAGAATCTGACACTTTTACCCCCACCTACAATCTAGAAAGCAAAAGTTAATATGTTGAACTATTACTGGAGAAAATTATTCTCTCGAAAACTTGGCGTAAATCAGACTCTCCTCACCCAAGTATTCCATTTACCTCTACTGATAACTGAGAAGTGCAGCACATTGCTAGAAATAGATGCCATTGGCATGTAAACACAGTGTATAGCCTTACAGTGCTTATATGGATTAGAACAAGCTGGTAAGGAGAAAACTTTAATTCGAGAAGATAACATGCACCCCAATGTCCATTGCAGCAGTATGTACAATAACCAAGACATGGAAGCAACCTAAGTGTCTATCAACAGATGAATGAATAAAGAAGATGTGGGGGCTTCCTTGGTGGTGCAGTGGTTGAGAGTCCGCCTGCCGATGCAGGGGACGCGGGTTCGTTCCCCAGTCTGGGAGGATCCCGTGTGCCGCGGAGCGGCTGGGCCCGTGGGCCGTGGCCGCTGGGCCTGCGCGTCCGGAGCCTGTGCTCCGTGGCGGGAGAGGCCACAGCAGTGAGAGGCCAGCGTACCAAAAAAAAAAAAAAAAAGATGTGGTATAATATATACAATGGAATATTAGCCATAAAAGAAGAATGAAATAATGCCATTTGCAGCAACATGGATGCCTAGAGATTATCAGTCATATTAAGTGAAGTTAAGTCAGACAAAAATATGTGGAAACTAAAAAGATGATATAAATGAACTTATTTACAAAACAAATAGACCCACAGATGTAGAAAACAAACATGGTTACCAAAGGGGAAGGGAGGGGATTAAATAGGCGTTTGAGATTAACAATATACATACTACCATATATAAAATAGGTAAACATCAAGGACCTATTGTATAGCACAGGGAACTAGATTCAATATCTTGTAATAACCTAGAATGGAAAAGAATTTGAGAAAGAATAGATATATATGTATAACTGAATCCGTTTTCTGTATACCTGAAACTAACACAACATTGTAAATTAACTGTACTTTGATTTTTTTAAATGGTTTAAAGAAATAGGATAAGCTGGTGTTACTATACTAAAGAATTTATAAAATGTATAAGTTGCTTTGAGCATAGTGGAAATAAGTTATTGAATATTGTAGTGATGGTTTTTTTCCTCTAATGAATTAAAAGTAGCAAATGCTCAGTCACAGCTTTTGAGTATGTGTGCTCCATAAAGTCAGGCATCAATCTGGTCGATGATGCGAATCATAGATTACGGCCCATTGTTGTGGG